TCAACAGCTAAGAAAACCAGTGGTGGAGAAGATGCGCAGAGATCGCATCAACAGCTGCATAGAGCAGCTCAAGAAGCTCCTGGAGAAGGAATTCCAGCAGCAGGAACCCAATGCCAAGCTGGAGAAGGCCGACGTCCTGGAGATGACAGTGACCTTCCTGAAGCAGCATCTCCGGCCTCGGGCTCCTGTCTCCGCCGTCCCTAGGGCGCACAGTGAAGGCTATGCCCAGTGCTGGCGGGAGACCCTCCACTTCCTGTCCAGCTGCAAGGGGGGCATGCCCCTGCAGTGGCTTCACTGTCTCCATGGATCCCAGAGAGCCACTCAGCAGCTCTACCCCATGTCTCCTGCCAGCTCCACATGTGAACTGGTCCCAGTGAAGCAAGAACCTGGTGCTGAGAAACCCATCTGGAGGCCGTGGTAGAGCCACTGGCACATGAGAACCTCAGGGGTGGTCATCTGCCTCTTAAAGTGTAGGAAAGATTATTTCCACAGTGTTTAATGTGTGGCCAGTCTTTATTACCCAATATTTGTGTTGTCTAGCTTCACATTGAAATTCAGTGTTCTTGCAGTGCAAATGTACATTGTTCACAGAAAACTTATTTTAAATCCTTCATATTGAAGGAAAATGTTATCTTTATATATGGTGTATGTTGCTTTTTACATTAGTTTTGACAGCATGCTATATATTCTCTTTAATTCCTACATTTTGTAGCTGATTTAATGTTAACTTCCATGATAGTAAAAAATATTATACGCAGTTGTCATATTTTCATTCCACATTAGCTGTGTATTTCTTTGTGTTCTTAAGGGCACAGATGAACAGCAGGGAGTCTCACTGCTTAAGAATAAAACAGTTAAATGCCAACCAAAGCTGGACGTTTCTGCTATTTTAATGGGAAAATGTGTGAAAATGCAGCTACAAAAATTAATTTAATCATAATGATGACCGATGGTAACTTTACAGGACATAAGTCCGAATACTGCACTTTGTCCTGTTACTTAGAACATGTCGGGCTACATTTAGCTGGTTTTGTGTCTATTGTAGTTTGCTTCAGGGGTGTCGCTGCAGAGTTGTGTGAGAATACAGGCACAGGAGACACCATAGGTTTGGCTAAATGTACTAAAGGGCCATGACATCACTACCATGAACTTCTTAATCATAGTTAATGTTATTAATAATCATCCAATTACAACATGATAATGGTTCATTATGCACATGGGGTGGTGGGGACAATGCCTACCTGGTCTTTCCATACTCAACAATATTCTGCAACAGCACTTTGCTCTCATCTGTCCATAACATTATGTATCACATTTAAAAACACAGCTGCAGTTGATACACTGAAAGTTTTGCAACATTCACATTTTAAACATATGCTTGAGTGTAGGAAGACAAAGGTGAAAGTGATTTATGTTCATTGTTAAATTTACCATAAATGTTTTTATTTGAATTTGTCATATTTTTTGCTAACCAAATGGGTCACTACTTGTGGGGTACTATTAAAGAAGATTAGGCTATGGATTGATTTCTTGTGGCTAACAACACACAACTTAAAATAGGCAACGAGATGATTTGGAACACTGGGCACGTGTTGTGGTTATATGAACATTTCTAATAACACCATCATCCATTGCTTTCAACAAGAATTAACACGCAAAAACTGGCCGAACACCGGTTTAACGTGTCGTTTTAAATTAATTTTAAAAGTCAAATAAAATAGTTATGACTTTAAAAGATAAGAGTACCCGCCTTTTGAATCTTACCGGAAATAATCGGTTGCCAGTCCAGTAAGGAGTGTCTAAATGGTTAGATTTTGCACCATTACCTTTAATGTATGATTTAATGCGGCACGCTTCCATTATTCTAGTGATGAAAGGGAAGAATAGGAGAGAAGTGTGGGAAAGCCCCCGAGAAACCGGCCCCATACGTACAACACTCAACCCAGCCCATTATCGCCGGTGCACATGCACAAGCTGTGCGGCTAAACCTGAGCTGACAGCCCGAGAGCCGATAATCCTGCGGCCCGGTGCCGGGAAAGAGGCGCGCTGCGCAGACGGCAGTACGGGCTCTGTGCGGTGGAGAAAACTGATGCATTAATGAATTATAGCAACCATGATTTTCTTTATTGTAAAATAAATTTAATGTACGCCTACATGTTGCATACTTTTACGTAGGCTATAAGAAGATACGCTGGTTAACTACACATAAAAATACATTAGTCTATAATGAATTTAACAGTGACAGCCTCGACCCACAGTAAAAATCAGCTGTACTATCCGAGACTGATGCCAAATTTTAAACAATGCTTCTTTCTATCTATCTATCTATCTATCTATCTATCTGCTTCTTTGTGATAATTGTTATGTGATTTTCATTTTAAATTCACCCCGATACAACTGAATCAACCACGATTTGAATTCAGGTCTCCTATGCCAATAAACGAAACAGACACCTGATACAACGAATTCGCGCAATTATACGCGCTCACGAGCGTTAAATGACCGCAATCCCTTGTTCTTAGACGTCTATATGCGTGCTGAAATGAAAATAGTATTAAGTATTTAACCTTTTAGTTAAATTTTTATTATGTTTATGCACGTGCGTTCCGCACGTGTTTTCACACGTCTCCGATAATGCGAGTAGTTTTATGATCGAGTGAAATAAAGAGCAGCCTTTACGTGATTCGGGATTTTTCTCTTTATTATAAAAGGAACAGTACTGGTCATTCCACTAGTAACTTCGCCTAGTTGCTTTTGGATGACAGATTATTTCAAGTCAGTAGCATAATCTGAAGCTGACGTTTTAGAAAAACATTTTGACCTTCGATGGAAGATGAAACACATACAATATTTTGAGTTGCCTAAAAGCTTCAGAACACATATTCCACCATCAAAAATCAAAGTTGCCTCACATTTTGTAACGTATACAAGGACAAGCAGTAACTTCAAGAAACATTTTTGCTGCACAGCAGCCATACATGTTAAGGTTCATACATGTTAAGGTTCTCCAACGATTCATCACACCATCATTGTAAAGGCAGATTTGAACTCAGATGAGAAGGAAACAAAATGGCAAAATTAATGATCTCCTTTGAGGAGAAGCTACATAAAAATAAGTCTGTTACAGACATACACATCCTTCAATATAAAGGAAATCCCCAACATATTTAACACTGTGGAAATAATCTTTCCTACACTTTGAGAGGCAGATGACCACCCCTGAGGTTCTCATGTGCCAGTGGCTCTACCACGGCCTCCAGATGGGTTTCTCAGCACCAGGTTCTTGCTTCACTGGGACCAGTTCACATGTGGAGCTGGCAGGAGACATGGGGTAGAGCTGCTGAGTGGCTCTCTGGGATCCATGGAGACAGTGAAGCCACTGCAGGGGCACGCCCCCCTTGCAGCTGGACAGGAAGTGGAGGGTCTCCTGCCAGCACTGGGCATAGCCTTCACTGTGCGCCCTGGGGACGGCGGAGACAGGAGCCCGAGGCCGGAGATGCTGCTTCAGGAAGGTCACTGTCATCTCCAGGACGTCGGCCTTCTCCAGCTTGGCATTGGGGTCCTGCTGCTGGAATTCCTTCTCCAGGAGCTTCTTGAGCTGCTCTATGCAGCTGTTGATGCGATCTCTGCGCATCTTCTCCACCACTGGTTTTCTTAGCTGTTGATGGACAAACAAGCTCTACGTTAGTTCTGTGTTACAGAGACACACCACACCAGAGATACAAGAAAACTCACTATGCTCTGAAGCAGGGAAGTCAGCCATAGTTATTGCAAAACTTACTTTATTCTTTTCCTTGCCGGACATCTTTAGGCTGGCAGCGTCACTGCAGTAGGAGAAAGGAGCCATGTTTATGTTGGTCAGGAGTTTCAGAAGAAGTCAGGGTGATTGTGTTCTGACTGAGGGCTCTCCGCTCCTATTTATAGTGCTGCATTTGCATTACAAAGCCATGTGCCCAAGGCAGGATTAGGTTTCCCACACTCAGGGGGCAGTGGGCGAGGTCTTCACAACAATAGGAGAAGAATCATCCACATTATTTCACGGTTAACTGGCCGCATGCTGCTTCGCCGTGGGAATTGTCTTCATATCAGCAGCGCTGACTGATAAGCCACACGGGTGATTTTATTACCTGGGGGTGAATTAACTCAGCGGACACACTTTCCAGTAGCAGGTACTGCAGTTCAGTAGAAAGAAAAACATTTAATATGATGTGACCAAGTGAAAATATCCACTTGTCTTAATGGAGTGAAAATCACTTTGCTTTAAATGCTATGGTCAAGTGGCTTAATATCAATGTTTTAGGGTAGAGTAACAGGAAAAAATGTGCTTTTAAAATATACCGTAATATCACGTCACAAATGTCCACAGAATTTCCCATATTCACAACTTTGCAAGTGTCTGCAATAATTCCCAAAATAGTCATATGAAGATACAGGCACGTATGCATGTACACACACACACACACACACTCACACACACACACACACACACACACACGTATGCACACATTCCTACTGGGAATGTCAATTAAACACTATTATCCGGCCCCTTCATTGAGGGCACACTTCCATTGTCCCTCCCCATGAGAATACGGAGCCATGAATGGGTGACTAGTGTGGGAAAGCCGGGCAGGATCCTACTCACACGTCCCCCTGTCAATACAGCTGACCCCCATCCCCAGCCCCCACCCCCGGCCTAGACAGGAGCCTCTTTCATCCCGCTGCTCTGATCTGAGTCTGGCGTGCCCCTGGGCGCGTGTGCACTCGCTCTCTGAATCACTACCCTCACCTGTTCCACTGGGCGCTCCCACGCTCGCTCGCTTACGGCTCCAGCCCCTTCATTCCCCAGAGCTGTGCGCTAACATCTGTCTTCCGCTAAGCTTCGGCTCCTGAATCGAAGGCCTGCTAATGGACCTACAACAGGGAATGCAGAATTAAAGTTGTCATGCAGGAGCTCTCCTAAGCTGGGTCTGGTTTAGAAGCACCAAGATTCCCACTGCAACACCTCCATTAACACTAATACGTGTCTTAATACCAGGTCCATGCAGGGCACAAACAAATGTGATCATAACATTTCTCTTCATACATTATATCTCAAGAGCATTATCTACAAATAGCGTATATACTGTAGATGACAACAATAATAATAATAAGAATATATTTTATTAAATTTATTATAATAATATTACTATCTCATAATAATAATATTATTTCTATGTTGTCTGGGGTGTATAAAAAGAGTTGAATTTCAATTTCATTGTTGTTGAATTTTCACTACTGCAACTGAACAAATTATAACTGTGTAATAAAAGCAATAATATCAAATCATTCTAGTTGTTATGATTGTTATATTGTTAATTGTTATATTATACTGAATATATTGTGACACAACAAAGACTACGTATATCTAAAAATTTGTGGAAGAAATGTCCCATTTTCACAAATATAAATGACTCAAAAGGATTTGATTAAAAATGTAAATAAGTTTAAATATTGGTGTCACACCCTCATCTGCTCTGGTTTTGTCCAGATGTTGCAGCTTCATCTCGTCATCTGGACACTCAAACCTTCACCTTAATTTTGAAGTCTTGTTTCTGGTTCCCAAATGGCAGCTTGAGCATTAGTTCCAGTTTCTGGATTCCCATGTATGATGTTCCTTCTGTGTGTTTTACCTGAGTTTTTGGATTATCCAGCAATGTCTTGTTGGGGCCTAATTGAGCAAACCCTGCCTACAGATTCTGACTGACAACAAACTCCACTCCTGAGTCTCCAAATCTTCCATTATTACAACAGGGTTTATACATTTTCAACTGCATGTAAAATTATTCTGAATTTTAAATCATTTTAAATAGCGGCACTTCTGGAAAAAATGTAGATAAATGGCAACGCCTGCAAGTGTTGACTCACAATGGTAGGATTGTGTGAATGTTAAGCATGAATGTTTGTGTTCCTAATTAATATCAAAGCAAAAATAAAGTTCAGTGGGTCTTTGAGTTACTTGAAAAATGATCGGCTTTTCCAGGACCAGATGCCAGAGGGACATTTTGGAGGGAAAACATCTCTAAGCATTCCTCTGTTTCTTTTTTTTTTCCGCTTGCCTCTCAGAAGATGCGTCATTTTCCAGTGGTGAATAGGTCCTCAACGCTCGACTGAAAAGCCATTGTTTGGGGCATTCCAAGGTAGACATTCTCCTTCATTCATGGAGAAAAGAAAAAGAAAAAAGCTACATCTCCATCACGAAAGCTTGCCATAAACAGTCCTCGGTGGCAAACACCCCCCGACCCCCTCGCCTCCCCCCCTGTTTAAACGCAGCCCGGCGAGGAATGTGTGAGAGCTCAGGTCTGCTCCCTGTTCCCACACCGCAGGTCCATTCATCGCCGCCTCAAAAAAAGGGGGTCCGGCCCCCCGGCCCCCGTCCGTCCGCAGGAATCCACCGTTGCTCCTTGTGTCCCTCTATCAATGGGCCATCTGGACCACCGTACCACGACCTGACTTGATCTGTGCTGCACACCTCAGAGAAACCAATAGGTATGGCCACAGACTGCTCACTGTTCTAATAAATGTAGGAATTCTTTTAACTCACTATACTGACCATCAATAATAACAAGATTAAAAAGCACATGAATAATAATCCATACATGCTACACCTGCTGAGGTTTTCTCCAAGCAGCGTAGGGCTTACGGCAGGGGTACACGCCCTGGCCAGGATGCCAGTCCATCACAGGGCACGCAGACACACAAGCAACACAGAGCTGCCGTTTAGCCAAACTGTATATCTTTGGACTGTGGGAGGAAATCTATAGCACATGAAGAGAGCTGGGACATTCATACATGCTGAGAGGGAGTCAGATTAAAACCCCCCAAGTGTGATATATGAGGTAACAGTAATATAATACTGTGTACTACCCTATTTAAAAAATACTATTAGGAAATATGAGCCAGAATAACAGGTCTATCACATACCATTCTTCTTTAGAATCGCAATATTGTCAAGGCATTTTTGTTTTAGCTAAATGCTCGATAAATGTTTCAGTAGACTCAAAACATCTTATTACAAAAATGAAATCTCACCCTTTTTTAAGTGATTGAAAAACCTGCTGAAAGAAAAGGCCTAAAAACATCATCTGGAGCCCACAAACATGCCCCGGTCACCTACATCACCAAATCCTGGTCGTTGGGGTTGGTTCAGAGGTGGTGGTGGTGGGGGGTTCAAAGGAGCCTTTGAACATGAGTCGTTTCCCGCCACGCACAGCTTCCCGCGGGCCTCATTGTGGGGGCAGGCGGCGCATGACGGCAGCACCGCCCGCGTCAAGGGGAGGCTCCGACACTCTCCGGGATGAGGGGTCAGCCGTTTCCCAGGTCGACGGCGCCCGCCGGCCCCCTCTCCTCGCGCGTGGCGCCAAACACCTGCCTCTCTAGGCGTGAGCCGCCATGGGCGGGCGGCGGAGTCAAAGGCTGCTTCAGCAGCAGGGTGGGGACGCTTTGCACAAGTCACGGCACAGGGGGGGGGGAGACAGAAGTGACTGTGGGAAACTTGAGTCAGGTTGAGCCACACACATATTTCTGATAATCCTGAATCTTGTTTTGTTGCTCCTCTGCCGGCACCCATACTTGGGCAGCAGGAGATATAAATACGCACCAGATTTCTCCCTACAATATTCTCTGTATCACTTTACACACTTCCAATCAATCAAACCCAGTTATTTCACTATTGAACTATAACTTTAACAGCAAATTCAGAATTCTATACGGTGTTGATCTATGAATTTAAGACCTGTTTTCTTTAAGCATCTTGTCCTGAAAGAGAGAAAATAAAGTAATAAAAAGACATATAAAATAGCTGGTTATGTACAGAGTAACCCAAAAAGGTTTGTACAAGCTGAGGCGTGAACTTTGGTTACTTTAACGGCAGGGATGGATAAAAAGCAGACGTCAACATTGATATGCAGCGGTTTCCTCTAGAGACGCCGCCGGATCGCGCTCGGCTGTCTTCGGGCTGCCAAGAGAATCGCGACTCTTTATAGTACAAAACGCACTGCGGAAAAGTGTTTACTGTGGCGGCAAAAGACTTTCCAAAAGGGGGGGGGGAGTGGAATTTGGTCGTTGGTGTTCACCTTTGATGACAACAGCCAGCACACACTTGAAAAGGTTCCCGCTCGCAGAAGCCAGCTGCTCTTTTGAGCCGCCTGCTCCACTTTCCCACAGCGCGTTTTCAATGGGCGCACAATGGAAGTGTGCCGTGTTCAATGCCGCGTTCGCAATGGCCGTCCATTTAGTAGCCACTTCCCAAAAGGGCCATCTGGTGAAGTATCATGTTAATACAAGTTTTCTCCAACTGCTAGAATCTGAAAGCCGCTATAACTCGAGTTTATAAATCCATCAGCCCCCACCCCATCCGTTCTTCTAATCCAAGAGCTCGTCCTGGTCTATTATAAATATCCCATTTGTGGGCACGTTTATTTTCTCTCACATTTCTTTGCATTATAACGGCTTTTTAAACGAAACATCGCATCTGGCGATTCCAGCGGCCAGGTGTTTCGTTTTGTTTATATTGTGATTTTAACTTTATGAAGCATATTAATAGCTTGATATGATTGACATGGCGTCGATTAATCCTCACGTATATTCGGCACGTATTATTCGTATTCAAACATTTGCAGTATTTTGAGTTTAAATACTTGTTATTAGATGCTGAAACATCTGTAATCATGCGCGCCGCGTTTCTTTCATCGTCATCTGTCAAATGCCACTGAACCATTCATGCCGAATAATATTGCAGGATCATTTTTTCCTTTTCCCGCCTTTGCCCTAAAGCCCGTCTGTTTTCACTGAATGGTGCAACGTGTCGCCTTGGAATGTAGCTGTAAGAAAATTGGCCATCGGCGGGGGGTGGGCTTGAGGTGGTCAACTATTTCCCAGAAACGACACGATTCCACGGGTGCTCCCTATTATCACACACACTCCACCTGTTCATGCGGACAACACTTATTGTCCCAAGGCAATATGCTGTCAATTTAGCATGAAGCAGTTGAAGCCTCCTCTATTGTCCCTAGAGGCTTTCCGATTGGCTCACGACTGTGGGAAACCCCAGCCTGGCTCAGACCCACAGTCCCCACGCTGGCCGCTGCCTATAAATAGCGGAGGCGGCGCCGGCGCGGAGCACAGGGCATTGACATTAGGTGTTGAGCGCGTCTGCAGAGATACACGGCGACGCCATGGCTCCCATCAAAACCTGCAATGCTGGTATGACCACGAAAGAAAAAACCAAAGTAAGGCTTGCCGATATGTGAATTTAGTTTTTAAATCGTGCATTATTATTATTATTATTATTATTATTATTGTTGTTGTTGTTGTTGTTACTTGTCTAATCTTACCTTGTTTCCTTTTTACAGTTAAGGAAGCCAGTTGTGGAGAAGATGCGCAGAGACCGAATAAACGGCAGCATTCAGCAGCTGAAAGCGCTTCTGGAGAAGGAGTTAAAAGAGTCGCAGCTGACTTCCAAGCTGGAGAAGGCTGACATCCTGGAAATGGCAGTGCTTTACCTGCGGGACAATTTGCGGCCGGCGGCCCCGCGGCATAGCTACGCCGAGGGCTTTGCAAAGTGCTTACAGGAGACGCTCCGCTTCCTCTCGGCGCACGATCGCCTGCCGGACTCGCGGCGCAAACTGCTGGATCATTTCCACCCGCAGGAGCGCCGCGCGGACAAACACCCCGCCGGCCCCCATGCGCCTTTCGCCCCCGGGCACTCGTGTAGCGCTGGCGGGCCTGACAGGCTATGGAGACCTTGGTAAACTATTTAAATGAAAAACAAAAAAAACAAACCCGAGGCTGTGCTGGCTTTGTATACGGCCTAATTGCAATTAAGCCGCAGACACAACCTCTTACAGTAGGAATTATATGTTCCCGTTTAATTTCTAACCTCTGTAGGCAAAACTTGTCATGACAGCTAATATTCTGTATAGAATACTATCTTTCCTGTATATACTCGCATTTAATGCTTTATTAAATTAACTTCCGTGAAGATTAATTCTCTTTACATATTGTAAATGTTGTATCGTCTTCTCATGTTGTTTCTGAGTGAGGAAGATGTTTCGCACCGACGGTGTAACAAGTTCGTTTTCTGTAAAACAGTTTTTGGATTTTGTAGTAGATCCTCTTACTTACTTGAAATTAAAAATCTCTTTGTATTTATCAAATTGATAGAAATTCATTTTTCTTTTCCTTCATGAAATCCTGTGAATAAATACCTCCTTTACAAAAAGAGTATTCGTGTCATTTATGTCAAATCAGTCACAAAGTACTGGATAAAGGGGACCAGTTAATTCTAACGCAATGCTATTTTAAGCAATGTTAATAGGACAATGAAATGGAATATTGAGCATATTAATTTATTTAATGATGTAGTCTTAACGCTTTGTTTTAACATTAGAAACGATGTATGTGGTTGACATTTTTAACGAGCTTTCTGGATATCAGGAACGTTAAAGCAAATCAATATACGACCTAAATCAGCAGAATATATGGTTTACAATAATCCAGCCACAAAATCGCCTACAACGTTGCGAAACTAGACTAACTCAAAACTGCATAAAAGCTGAAACAATACCACAAGCACGTCAAAACGTTTGATAAACACGTAAGATCAATATTTATATATATATATATATATATATATATATATATATTAATTTGAACTATTTCGGAAACTGTGATACTACTTATTTTGTTTAATGGTTTGAGTGGTACTGTTACTTCAAACTGCAGCAGGGCCTGCAGTGTCATGGGTTGGTGGCATAACGTAGACTGTTCCTCAGAGACTGACAGACAGCTGCTAACCTTGCAAATAGTGTTCAGAACCTGCGGGGACAGGGAACCAGCTCTGAAGTGTGTCATCTGCTCTTGGGCCAATAAAACAGTGGTGAGAAACAGCAGGGAAGTGTGGAGTTACCTCTCCATGCTTTGATCTGGGAGGGAGACTGACCACCCCAGACATGCTCTGCGTGTGAGAACCTGGGGGTGTGAGGGGGGGGGGGTGCTTAACTGCCTTAACAACCCCTCACCTCCAGCTCACGTCAAAACCAGGCAGTGCGTGAACTCCTTTAAAGTATGGTCTCACCTACCCCCCCTCAATATGCAGGCCAAACAGATCTCATTTTTCAGTTAAGGTCGCTGGATTGACATTAGCAATCATGCTACATGCTACATGCTACATGCTGAAATGCAGCTGTTATTGTGACATGTCAGTATATTAACATATTTCACATGGTCTGTTGTTGTATATTTTTGCCACCACAAAGAACATGGTCTCATTAAAATAGATACATCTCTATACACAGCTAATGTATTATCAAATAAAATGTATTATTTCTGCATAAAAATTATCCAGAATTTAAATCAGAAATATTTTTATTGACTAAGTATATTAAACATGGAATTTGTCTTGGTGGGTGTGTCCCATCCATCCATCCATCCATCCACTTGCTACCTGTTTATCCAGTCAGAGTCATGGGGAGGGGCCTGAAGCCTGTAGAATTAATGTTCACGTTAATTTCAGGTTAAGATACAAGTTGAAAGTTGTATATCCACAGGTTGTTTTCGCATCTACCTTGGTCTGTTGGATCTTTCATTTGTAAGCTCGTTAGTTTTATCTCTTGCTCCTGCTCTCTTGTTAACCAGCCACAGCTGCCTTGTGTTTTCTCCTGTTAGTTATGTATATTATCCTCTCTGAGGCCTGTGCTCTCTGTTCGGTCATTATTCTCTGTCTACGTGTGTGATCCTGCCTGTTCCCTGCAATAAACACCCCTGTGAAGGGTTTACCTTGACACAGCCTGCATCCTTCTCCTGCTGCTTATGTGACAAATGTATAATTTTTCATCAGTCATCACAATAATGAAAATGCCTTTGGGAAGCCTGAAGGTCCATAAAGAAGATGAGATGTTGTGGAATATTATTAACAATAATAATATTTTGCTCAGGATTTAATATGTTGTTTTCTACTTGTACCTTGCAGGTGGATCTAACTGCAGTTTCCTCCTAGTTACAGGTAAGTTACTTCCTGGTTACAATACCAGCCACACTGAGATATACCATAGCTAGAGATCAGTACCCATAGGCCGATCCATATGGATAAAGCACATGGCCTAGCACAATGCAACCCAGCCGGGCACAAAAGCAGCACACGGGACATTCGGGGCTTAACGGGGCAAAAATCAGCTGCTCCTTTCAGCCCTGCAGGCCGACCGCTGCGGCCAAATCCGGGCACACATGCTCAGAGGCTACGGGCTCTATGCCATGCCAACAGAAGGCATGGCGACCCCATCCATTCTGCCCTCACAAAGGGGCCTTTAGCAGCTTTTGGGACACTGTCCTCACAATGAAGCTCATGCCAGAGTTTGTTAGCCCCCCCCCCGGCCCCCACCACACAGCTGTCTTCATCAATGCACCTATAGGGCTCCTCTAGTTCGCTGCTCTGCATTTTTCAGCAATAACTCTTATATGCGAAAGGGGGAGGTTTCAGTTGTGGCTCATTTTTACCAAGTGTTTGTTCAAAGACGCAGATGCTGACAAAACATGAAGAATCCACAGACAAACACAGTGATCGTCCGAGACCATGAACCATATGGCTGCTACCCGACCAGAGGTAAATTATTAAAAACAAAGTGAATTTGTAGTAACTTATCACTTCTAACAGAGGGAAAGTCTCCAAAAATTGTTTTTTTGAGGAAAGATCCTTATAGTCATCGGAAGGTCATTTGTTTGAGCCCAGCCTTGGTGCATCTCTGGGTCCTTGAGTAAGACTATTGACTTCCAGCTCCCTGGGCACTACTATAGGTGGTAGGTGTAAACCATATTTACAAAGGTGGATATATTAATGTAATTTATCATGTTAAGTATTTTGCTGCTATTTTGGTGGCATAGTAGGATGCACCCTAGCCTTATAACCAATAACCTTTCCATTATATATCAACTAATCTAATTGGCTGTCAAACGCGAACTGTGCAGATTATCTCCTAAATTTGTCATGTAGTTCAATGGCCAGCAGGGGGTGACATGGCAGCACAAGTGGTATGGGGAGGAGCTGACTTTGCCAGCAGATATTCTACAAAAGCCTTTTCAAATAAAAGCAGAGTCAAGAGCATGAGATAATGGGTCAGGCAAGGCTCTCAGTGTGTCATTTTGGACTCTCCACCACAAGGGGGCAGCAAGCAGCACGGTGGTCAAGGACATTAAGGTGCAGATTCCAGTTCAGGTCCAAGGAGGGACGTGCTATTTTGCCTTTGACAAGTTCTCTCATTTCCCTAAGGCATGTTGCAAACTGACTTTAGTTTTTTTTCAGGTGGTTACACATATATAAAGACATTGCCCCTCCCCTTCCCTTTTATACAAAGGCACTTGCAAAAAAAAAAACAGCCAGTATGACATTGTGTTTATACATCTGCGGAGGGGGTGCTAGTTTGGCTGCTGCAGCAGCACAGGTAACACCGTGCACCATCACCCAGAAACTCATCTGCTGTATGAGTAGTATTTGGTACCAGCAGCATAACGATTAAGTATGCACTGAGCCTGTAAGTGCATATTTATGTGCACTGAGCATGTAAGTAAGTGCATATTTATATCGGCTGCACTGTAGGACATGTGTTTGGGAATCCTGCTGGCCAGCAGTGGATACACTGGTGTTCACTGCAATTTAAATGAACCAGCATTTGCATGTTAGAGATCTAAGAAGAGGCAGAAGCCCTTAATCCAACAGCAATCCTGATCATAAATGTGCAGGAGAAATTATGGGCTGGCAGGCAAATCTGCCAGCGGGTTTCTAAAAGGGTGCTTGAAAATCATTAAGCCGTAGCAAACAAACAGGCCAAAGTCCTGCTTGCTCAGCCAAACTGGACGAAACAGACACGATGCCACCTAGCCTGGGTGTAGAGTTTGGGCAGAGGGGTAACCGGTGTGTCCTGGAATCAGTGAAGTGATGTCGCTTAATGGCTCAGTGAGTAATGTCATTGAAACACACCTCCAGGGTTGGGGGTCTGAAGCTGGCATCTGTTTGCATGCTTGTATGAAGTGCCCATCGTGTGTGGTTGTGCATGGACTGGCATCTCCTCCAGCTTCCTCCCTTCTTTTTGGGCCCTGCAGGCCACCCTGCGACTCTGACCAAGAACAAGCAGCTGGAAGATGGACAAACGGAGGGTGATGCAATTCCAGAATGCCACCCGGGGGTATTTCTGCCATTTATTCAGGCACTTAATGAGGAAAGGTCGGCCGGTTTCACGGCTCTGTGAACAAAGCGACCCAGATCAGGCAGTCACAGGCAGCTCTTCCAAGGACACATGTGAAAACTACTCAGGAAACAGACGGTCAACTTTAAAAAAATAACCTTTATGATCATACAATCCTCTTTTAATGTGACAACACCCAAGCAACCATTAACAGTGACACCAGGGCTAGGATAAAGGTGTCCGCTGTTACACTGCCGATCTCCCATCCATCCATCCATCCTGTAGTACAGGGATGTAAATCTTACCAACACAAGGCATATGTGCACACCAGACATGGTAAAACAAAAGACAGAAGTGTCATTTATAACCTTCAGAGTACAACAAAATATTAATTTTCCTGCCTTTGAATCCCAGACCTACAGCTTAATTTTTCAATTAAGTTGACTTTGAAGTGATTAAGGAAAGCCAAGACTAAACTAACGAGATCCAAAGACACACTGAAGACAGACAATAAAGTTCAGATCTTGACTATTCAAATCCATGGTGAACTTACTTCCAGTTAGGTATAAGTTACCATATCTATGTCAACCTTCTCTTGGGGTGGGGGGGTGGGGGTAGCTTTGATCGACAACAGCTCCTGCAGGCACTGTCCCAAGAAGGGTTTAGGTGTTCAAGTCTTCTTCACAGCAACCAGAAACAATCATATTCAGTCATTACTCAGTAGAGAAGCTAGAGAGGGAGAAGGTCAGTGCTTGGGTTAGAAGACGAGTGCTGGGGAGTTCCTTCTCAGCCCATGTAGGGGTATTTCCATTCGGTCAGGGGTACATGAGTCTCCTTCACGACCTGGGGAGACGTCCAGCGGAGAACGTAGTGGGGGCCACCTGGCTTGTCGTTGGTGCCTGGATGGGGTCAGATGGGTGGTTAATGGGACTCTGTTTTGTAAGTGAAGAGTTATAAACTCAACATAAGAAAGCAGGAGCCCCCCCCCAGGCTGGAAGCCTCCTTATTAGCATCATTAGCTAACATTCTAGCTAGACCGTATATCAACTACCCTTTGTATCTGGGGAGTCTGTGAGATAACTAGCCACGCAAAGCATTCTTCCAAGGAGATCCACCATGCTGGTGCTGATCGTACTGTGATCCTCCCGGCAGACAAACTTCATGCTGCCGACACTCACCCGAAGCTCTCGAGCCCCCGAAGGGCTGCTGGGCGACGACGGACCCCGTCGATTTGTCGTTGACGTAGTAGTTACCCGCAGCGTTCCGAAGGATCTTTGCAGCGTCCTTCACCACGTTCCTGTAAGCCATGACAAGGAGGGTAAGAGATTTTAGAGAACAGAAGGGCCACATGAGACAACAGCCTAAGACCTCAAACCTTCCAACTCATCCTCAGCTGCTCTGCAACGCAAAGAAATAAAAATACTTTAAGACGTTAAAAGGTACTTCGGTTGCCCTGAGCAACTATATACAAGCTGGGATTTAATGTTTCAATATCTGTTGTTGCCTTAGTCGCTGCTAAAATATTAATGTTAAATTATTTAAAATTCAATAAATGAAACTCTTTATCCAGCAATGATTAGTGTAACGCATTCCAAATCGGTCCCTTGGTCTTAATATTTGACCTTTATATGTTTAAATAAAAGAATAATTGGACATTATATCTCAGGACTCTGAAAAGTAACTACAAGAATAAAATCTGCGTAGTATAAATATTAATTACTGCAGTTTTTGAAGTGTGTTCCAAATGCGTACCGCCAGTATCAGTCAGGCAACTTACTTATCTAATGCAAAAACGGCTCCTGTCAAGGCATAGGGGGATGTGCTGTCAATCAATTTCAGCACATCTTTGTATTGGTCCTCGGGGTAGACATAGACGGTTAGGACAGGCCCAAAGATTTCCTGATTGTTAGAGGAAGAGTCAATTAAAACATGGACTAACTTAAACAGACATTTTGGATGAAGTCCAAAAGGGAGTATGAATGATTTAATCCTTCATTCTAGCTGTTAGTTTAGCATCAACTCCTGAATTTCCCCCCAGGAATTATTAAAGTATCTATTGATCTATCTATTAGCAGATTAGGGCCAAGGGGGGAGGGGGGGGGTTCTCCATGGGTACTCATAGATGGTTAGTTCACCTCATTCATGATCGCATCCTGCGGATCCTTGGTCTCAATGATGGTTGGCTCCACAAAGTACCCCTTACTGCCGTCACAGTTCCCACCGGCAATGACCGTCAGATTGGGGGAGGACTTGGCGTGATCGAGCCACTTTTTGATGCGGGCGAAGGACTGCGAGGAAAGTCATTGAACACTCAAACACCAACAAACTGTACTTTCATAAAGAAAGGTGAGAAACGCTGACACCTTTTCCATCTTGGGGAACTTCTTACAAAAACATCTCCACTAACAGTCTATGAAGTATCTCTTATATGACGATCACCAAAAAGAGTCACAGTAAAAATTGGTGGTACCTACTTTGTCATCAATAACAGCAGAGAAGAACGTACTGAAATCTTCCACAGGCTGGAGAGAGAACAAACAAGAAGATGATGAAGTGAAGCGCTGAGACACGCTACCTAGGTTAATGGGATTTGTTTCATCAACATCTCAACCAAAATGATGGAATGAAACTGAGATTATGTTACTACTGAGAAGAACTGTCTGGAGAAACCGTCTGGAGAAACCGTCTGGAGAAACCGTCTGGAGAAACCGTCTGGAGAAACCGTCTGGAGAATCACTCACGTTGCCCACTTTTAGCTGCTTCTGCACATCCAGGAGCTCCTGCTTAATCCGGGGCCACAGGGAGTCTGGAACATACATTCTGGAGCACGCAGAGCACTTCTGGCCACTGTACTCGAACGCAGAGCGGATCGTCCCTGTAGCCACGCTCCGCACGTCTGCCGACTTGTGCACAAAGTGGAAGTTCTTACCGCCACATTCTGAAAATTCCAAAAAAAACACCAATTCTCAGGTTAATGTGAGGTCGATCTGAGAAATAGTATCTAGTTAGTTTGTCCATTGCCTACTTTTTGCAAACAGCACAAGGTAAAGCTACTAAAGTAGAATTAAAAATGGAAAATATCCAACCAGAAGATGTGCATTTGTGTATTTTAGTTCCCCAGTCAATGACAGCTGAGTGAAAGCTTTTTAACAGTCTCCGCCTCAAGACGGGAACACTTAGCACACCGCAAGACGAGGCCAACACCCACCTCCACCCACCCGAGGAAAGTTCCGGTACCGATCCAAATTTTGTGCTACCTGCTTCCACAGCCTCTTGAAAGTCCTAAGTAGGTACAACACAGGAATCCATTTTAATTTCACGGGGAGAAAACAGAATTAAAGAACCATATTTAGCTCACATCTCTTCCGCCCACGGCACAGAGGAGGCTCCCAAAGTAAAGTTACTGTGCACACAGAGGCGGCGGCTTACGGCACGCTGCCGGTGAAGTTGATGCCGGCCAGGTGCTCGGAGGCCGTGACAGTGTCCCCGAAAACTGGCCCGTCAGCAGGAACAAACTGGATGATATTGGGCGGGAGCCCCGATTCCCTCAGGATCTTGTAGACGGCGTAGCTGGCTGACATGGCCGTGTCACTGGGCTTCCATAACACCACGTTGCCCTGGCAACAGAAGAGCATGGGTAAAGTCACCTTGCTGGGCCCGTACCACACGAATGCATACCACACACACACACACATTTCACAATGCACGGGTCTGACCAATCACAGTCCGCACGAGACGCACCATCAGGGCGGGGGTTCCTGCCAAATTTCCTCCAATCGCCGTGAAGTTAAAGGGAGCGACTGCTGCCACAAAGCCCTAGGAAACATAAACAAACAAATAAGCAAACAAACTCATAAAGACAGTATTGGTTAGGCGAAATTCTTTGTTGGAAGCACAATGTGGCCTGTAGGGGGCGCTCACCTCCAGTCCCCGATACAGCATGGTGTTGGTACTCCCGTCGCTGTCAAGGGGCTGCTGCTGCTCCAGCTCGATGGCGTATTTGGCGTTGAAGCGGAAGAAGTCAATCAGCTCGGCGGCAGCGTCAATCTCTGCCTGAACCACCGTCTTTCCCTGTGCGGCACCACAGCCAAACAAAGACGATAAGCGTTTAGCCCTTTTTAACTGGACCCGGTCCATTTTTTGGCTGCCCCATGTCCCTAAAAGGCGCTCAATGATGTCATACCTGCCCAATCATCGTTTTGGCTAACACCTCTGCCCGCTTGGGCCCGCTGATGACGTCGGCGGCCTTGAACAAAATCTGCGCCCGGTCCTGAATGGGTTTGAGGTCCCACTCCCGCCGGGCCGCCAGAGACGCCACGATGGCTTTGTTCAGGACCTCCTATTGGACGGACATCCCCATGTGGGTTTCGAAGCGCTTAAATACTCACGTAGTGCACATGGTGCGCGGTGTATAACCCACACTGTCCCCCCTAAAAGGACGGGGGCTCACCTTGTCAGCATAGCAAAACCTGGCCACCTTGTGAGAGTGGTTGAACGGCTGAAAGACATTTATTTTAGAAGTGAGCACAATGGACAATTTCTAAGAAAGTATTTTAACTGCACAGAATCAACGATTCCCTTCAATAATGTCCAACTACATTCTTCATCTCAGCCTCTGCACCAGATCACTACCAGAACTGGGCAACCCCTGTTATCAAGCTTGCTCAGACAGATGGCATCAGACTCTGTCCGTCCTCCATCAGCACAAAAAAAAAAAAGATGGCAGAGGTGTTCTGAGCATTCTATGAATTCCTAGTCATCAGAGTCGCACGTTCATGCTGGTGGAACGGACCAGTGAGAGGAGCAGAACCCGTCACCCACCGACAGCTGGTATCTGATGTCTTTGGTCCAGATGTGTTCATCTCCTACCACACAGGGGATCTCCTCTGTCTTCCCCTTCAGCTCCTGCAGGGCCTGCACATGAACGCACATCTCATCAAGCTTCTGCCACTGCAGATGCTCCTCCCTTTACGACGGCTCGACTCACAATATTTCGACTTTACGATGGTGCGACAGCAATGCATGCTCAGCAGTCATCAGACCTAACTTTGAATTCTGATCTGTTCCCGGACCAGCGATGTGCCAAACGATACTCTCTACTGATGCCCAGAAATGCCAGCATCGATGCAGTCGAGCTTCCAGTCTCTGTACGATTGCGCCCGTAAACATCTCATACAGTGTTTAACAATGTATGATACAGTTACTGATTTATTTATCATATCATATTCGGCTTACGATAATTTCAACTCACGTTGGGTTCATCGGAACATAACCCCATCTTAAGTACAGGAGCATCTGTATTACTTTACATTGATATACTTTCTCTGATACAAAACCACAAAGAACTAGTGTTCAATGTGTGAAAGGATTCAGCCTCTCAGCTCTTCAGCACAGGCCTGGTCCCCACAAAGGCTCAGGCATGAAGATCGGCGCCCAGCCAGGCCATGAGAAGAGGCTGGCGAGTGTGTGGGCACCTTCAGCAGCTCCTCCCTCTCTCGACTCCCATCCTTGAACCCCAGCACAGGTTCATTTTTCACCTCCACTGCAGCGCAGGCGGAACGCCGGAACCTGTGGACAGAAAAAGACTCCTTTACTGGGTACCTAGAAAAGTACAGGACTCCACTGAGCGTGGATGAAGGGGACAGCAGTGACTGTCCCAAACCTGGGGACATGTTTACAAAAATGGACCACAGAATAAAACAAGAGTGACACACCCCCACATTAGCAGAACATGTTGATAATTAAGTTTAATTTTGAAAACGACAGACTGTACAACACAGTTTGCATGTTTGATTATCATGCCGCACTTTTTGGAGAAGGTCTGGCCAACCTAATGTTCCAAATTGGCCTACGACCAGTGGTTCTCAATCCTGCTATTGGAGGACCCCCTGCCAGCATGTTTTCATTCCAACCCAATCTTAATTAGGCTTAGACTGTCCTTAATATGCCAATACTGAATGCGGCAGTTTGAAAGCAGAGTGGGTTGGAATGGAAACATTTTGGGCAGGGGGTCCTCCAGGAACAGTACTAAGAATTACTGGCCTACGACTGACCAACACAAAACGTGTCACGGACGCGAGCACAGAAAGCCACAGCGAGTCACAGAAAGCCAGCTCAGCGCTCTGATTCTGGATCCAATCAGGAACATGGTGAAGGTCAGGTGGGCGGGGCTTGCTGTCAGAGTTACACCAGCCTTTCCAGTGACCACGGAAAAGTCCCACCTGTGTTGACTTTCCAGCAAGTTACCAGCATTTATCCGGCAAAACAGTCAGTAAGTCAGGACTGAGCCACCGGCGTGTCGCTTCCATGTTGTACTGAGCCTTTTTAAGTGGAAAAAGCTAACAGGACCTTGTTAATAGCACAAGCTAAACCAACCTTACTTTATAACAAATTAGCTAATTAGCTAATTATCTTTGTGTCTGTGTTTTGGGAACGATCACAAAATTTGCAGGATGCATTTCCAGGCCAGCTAGTTATGTCGTTTAAAATAATCAAACTGCCAAATGCCCTCAAACCATGCCTTACATAGAGTCAGGGGCTGGTGCTGGAGGGAGGGGGGTCAATAGCTATTAGATCATTACATCACAAAATGAGGTCTGTTCTTCATGCGAGGTCTCCGTCTTAGAAACGTCCCACAATGTCCATTTACATTTTAAGCAGCAAGGTAAAGCCATCAGTTAAACAATAACATATGAATAAGCTTTAAAATGCAGGCAATATATTTACATTCACAGTCTCTTTCAGAATGACAGCCTGTTGAAACAAAACATTAAAGTAAAATGCATGGACTTTGGCAGTGGTGGGGAGATCTAGTTGTAAATTAATTTAGCTTGTGAAACACACAGTAGTTACAGTTTTTTTGGACACAAGAGGTAAAATCTGCTTAAAGGTTGAGCTACTTTTGCCAAAATCTGCTGAGCAAACAGTTAACAAGCAACCAGGCAACTTTTTATTCTCCATTTTAAGTTATCACAGGAAGCCAGGCAAAGTAATTATATATTTTCAAACCTCAAAACCTCTACCCAGGTGACTGCCAGCAATATAGAGCCTAAGGTGGACACACCTTTCAGCTTTATTCACACAGACAAAAAATCATACGGACATATTTCCTTAATAAACTGACTGATCTACAGCCATTATGGGCTTGTAAAAGCCGTCTCTCCAAACCTTACACATATTAATTAAACTGTTTGCCAAGTTGAGATGCATATTCCCATACCACTGTTTCTCTAGAGTGAGAAACGGATTATGCCGCACTGGCTTATTATTTTGTTACTATAACAGTATCTCAGCAGATCATAAAACAGCTCCTGCAATGTGGTGAAACTGAGAAATTTTGTGCACATTAATGTATAGTCTGAAGCCATTTGAAATTTTTTTTTTTTTTTAAAGTTAAAAATTCATAATCTGATGCTAGTGGCATCCTAATTCTAATATGGTGTTATATGGAATTCCACTTCACAAATGAATTGTATTTACCTCACGCAGGCTCAGTAATTTTGGGGTCTGTGCACGTATCCAGAAGGTCGCCAGATCAAATCCCATGGCTAAGTAACTGTTGGCAGGGATGAAGTGGGTTTGAGTTCCAGCCTGGCAAATGCTGTGCCTCAGACCAGCCTGGGGGCGGTCCTGACTAGGGTGCCGCGGGAAACCGGTACTGAAGAAAACTGCGGTACTAGAGAGTTTTGAAAACGGTACAATACCAGCATTTTGGATAAATAAATACGTTTATTATGCAAATGGGAATTTTATCTGGCTATAAGGAGTCTGTCTCTGTAAGCTCAATGCTGACAGCAGTGACGTTGCATTACTGGTGTGTGTGACATTGTGGGACACAGTCAAGAGCGACAGCAGTACATGTTGTCGCTTCGTTCAGAGACGAGATGACAGAGGCTCCAACACCATCAGAACTCACTGGAAAAGCGAGAGCGTGAAGTGAAACACGGAGAGATTTCAGCTATGAAGTGGACGAAGAAGATGAAGCCCTAATCGCAGCAGCACGGCTGTCCAAGTGCGGTTTAAAGCCGCTTTAAAGTGTCTCTCGCAATGGGAGGTAACATGTCCAAACCTGGCCAGACGTCTGTCACACAAACATCCCGACTTTTTCAAGGAATTCAAAGACCGACAGGTGAAAGTTGAGTAGTTCACCCCCCTGATATGTCCATGAAAGAATTCAGAGTGATTGAAAAAGCAATATTCATATTCATAGGCAGTGTATAGTGATGCGTGGGTCCATTTTACAAGTGACCCAAACTTGTCGGTGAATTCAACCCAACCATGAGTCGAACCGCTAAAATTCATAAAGGCAGAATGATGCCCAACCTGCTTTTCTGGCTAATATGCTTAAATTTGAACCTACCCACCCCTCAACGACCTGAATATCATTTAAAACATTTTTGTTTGAAATAAAGCACAATGTTTGAAATAAAGCACAATGACATTTGAGAGTGTTTCCCCCATTTTCAGGAAAAATATCAAAAGTTATCAAAATTCATGAATACTGAAACAAACATTTTGGTACTGTGACACTAGCCCGGGGGTCCCTGACAATAACATTTACCAGTTCTCCCAATTAGCCACTGAGGCATTAACTGTTGGGCCCATAACCCAGAAAACTGCAGGAATAAATGACCCAACCTGCACTCTGGCTCCAAACTTCACTGCGACTTGAAAGCTATTCACCCCCCAAAATCACAGAAGCTACCATGAAGCCAAGTGTCTCTCCCAGCTGCCGAAGTCAGTGACTGCAACTGCAGGTGATGTTCACTGCTTGACAAACTACAAGGCTTTGCATAAAAATGGGCCTTTATGGGAGAGTGGCAAGTAAGACAAAACATGTGTCCTGACCTGTACAGAATCTACATAATGTCACTTATGGCGTGAGACTACAGTGTGAGTTTTTGGCCGGAACACTTATGCGTATCACCATACCTACGGTACAATGTGGTGGCAGCATCAGCATCATGTCATGGAGATGCTTTCAGCAGCAGGGACTGGTGAGGATACAAGGTTCATGAGTATTGGGTTGAATTCCCAGTAAAATTGATCAACATCCCAGGTTGTAACTACTTATGCGAAAAAGAGGGGCATGTGGCTCAATCTTTTTCAGTGTCCCGTATGTGTCTCATAGGAGAGCATATGTAAAAAAATCAAATAACGTACCTGTACTTGTACAAATGGCAGTGTCAAGTTAAAACGAACTTCTGCTGAACGTGTACCTCTCGAGTCTCGTAAAGGAAATTAGCTTGCAAATTCACGCAACATGTATAATCAGCGCTCGCTGCGAGGCGATCATCGTTTATAGGAATGTAAGAAGCACGTGCAGTAAGAATGACACAAGGCACTTCCTCCATCGGCTTCGCCAAACAAAGTCGGCACTTCACTTATCAGACGAGTGAAGACAAAAACATCAAATGTCATTAACAGATAACCAAAATCAATGCCTGCGATACCTCTGACCACCCAGCTACAGTAGTTTGTTGCCGCATATTAAACTCCTAATTACGTAACAGTGTGTTGGCGGGGGGTGGGGGGGTCACTTCACTTTCAGCACGAAACTGGAACGGGTTTACAATCCCTAGATGCACCCGATCGATGCACGTTCCCCAATAAAAACATAAAAACTGCAAAGTCAAAACATTCTGCAAGCAAGCATAAAAACAGTGTAAGGAGACTCGAGCAGTTACCTACCCTCTCCAAGACTGACAGAGGATTGACCTTACGCGCAGCATGGTTCAAGAAGAAATTATGAACCAAAAAATAAGCACAATGCGTAAAATACTGATTTATAAAATAAAAATTAAAATAACATGAATAAAAATCATCTATCGACCTAAAAACACAACCTAATCGCCGTCAGGTATTTCAAGGAAAACCAGCAGCGAACGTGTATCGCGAGTACAGAGGCATGAGGATATACCATTACTTTCAAGGGAAGTCTAACAATTTCTATAGTATGTAACTTTAATAATATAACCAAAAATTTAAAAAATAAAGATAATATTTTGAAAATGAATATATGTTATTGTATGCAAATGTATTTTCTTTTATATAAAGTTTATTTTAAAACAAATCGGATTCTATTCCCCCCTATATTTCACCCTGATGGGAAGTACTAAGGGTGTGTTGCTGAGTAGCCATTCAAATAAGGGGAAAATATCCCCGACCAATCAGAATGCAGCCCGTCATGGGTCAAGCTCTATTTTTAAAAGGAGTTTAAGGATTCTATCTATACATGACTTTTCTATTACGTAGCGATTGTGAGAGCAGTGGTATTTCGCACGTCGTTTTTGGAGAATTACGGTATTTTATTTACATTTTATAGTTAGTCCTTATCGACTCTCTAGAGATATTATCTAATACAAGACACATTGAGACTTTTATTCTCATGCACTCTTTATACGTATATTAATACACAAGCAGGGGTGCCGCTAGAGAACTTGAACGCTATGAAAGCACGTCATATTTGTCCCCCAACCCAAGCCAATACAATTATGTTAATTTTTTTACCCCGCCTTGGAATCGTCTGACCCCCCACCGCCCATTTACTGCGGCCCTGTACAGACCTCCCAAACCAAAGGTACGTGGTAGAAACATATGGTGCGTCCAGAGAAATAGTAAAATGACTGCTGACGTAAATCAGGTTCCAGGGCGCCTCGTAAATGCCCAGTGACATGCGAGCTTGCAGTTCGTGTTACTTTCGTGTAGTGTGTCCATGCTTAAATGCTTTGTATTGTACATGATTATGAATTGTTTTCCTTTATGAATGATGTAATGTCTCTTTTTACGGTTTGTTTTTTTCCACTTACATGTATAAAACGTCAGTTATCAAATATGGAACGTAATTTCATTGTCTTACACAATGACAATAAAGTGCTTAAATCTTGAATGAAAATTCTTATCTACTTGGACTGAAATATACAACACTAAAAAATAAGTTGCTTTCAATAAATAAACTTAGGAGTCAGGAACTGTTGCCCACGAATATTTTTTTATTTATTTTTTTGAACCCAGACACCATTTACATCCATTATGGTAAATGTATTTCCACATAATCAATGCAATCATTTAATTTGTTTTTTTAAACATCAAAGTATAATGCTTATAACAATGATTAAAATACTTTGTATTAAGAAATTAACTATATTCTTCTGGGAAAAAAGGTTAGTACCCTGATGAGCTGATAAGGCGACAGAGTAGATTAAAGAAAAAAAAAAGAAAAAAAAAACAGAATTGTTGTAGCTAGATCAGCCTTTAATGCCCCTTGCTAACACAAAGGTCTGAAGCAGCGTGTTCTTAGGGGTTGTCGGTCTGATGAGGATCACAGGATTCACGGATTTTGGAGCTGGTAGGAAAATTCTGTGATGTAAGCAGCCCTGTCATCGTACGTATGCACCCCCATCAGAAGCTGTCTTTTTTTGGTTAATGGCTAGCAGCATGAGGAATTAATTATTTTAGACACTAAAAATAAATTATATATACTTTGGTAAAGCAAGGCTGATGCGAGCATCGTTTTTCTCTAGATTAACGGCTAAACCTATTTTTTCCACATGGTGATTGCCATGCCGCCAGATCAAACTATAGGGTTAACCAATGACATAATGAGAAACATCCAATGGTTCGTTAAGAGAATATCTGACACGGTTCTGTAACGGTGTCGTCATCCTTGATAGCGAAACACATCAAGATGCGTGGAAGTTTACAAGTTAGGATAGCTACTTCAAAATTTTGACATGGTTCATGACTGTTCATCTCTCTTGTGTGCAGAGAAAATCGGACTGCATTAAATAGGTAAGAAATGTTTTGACCTGTCTCTTACTTTTCAAAATCACATTGCAAAAAAGTTTCACAACAAAGCGATACTTAAGGAAAGTGCTCCATCGCTAAACTAGGCCTGGAAAACATTTGGGAAAAAAAAAAACATTTGAGAACCATAAATGTTATGTCTGCTTCTGACTCTCATAGACCCCAAGCAGCTTACGAGGGGTCTGGGAACATTTTTATTTATAAAACTGATCTTTATATCCACTGATTTAAGAAAAGACGTTATATGGACTGTATAAAAACACTGCCTTTGATAGATGAACAATAATTTATATATGTTTTTTGGGAGTTGGGGCATTGGTTGGATAAAATAAAACCAGCCTCTTAAGTGCTACGTCCTCAGTTTTGAGGAGCGAGTCTCTGTTGATCACTGAATATACAGGCATGCCAGTCGGGCTTCAGGTGATCTTTGGCTGAGGAGGTCCATGACACCGTGGAGATGGACCGGGTCCTTGGGTAAGGAAGTTAAGTGCAAAACTAGAAAAACTATCCTGGCCAGTCCTGCTAATTCAACACTGGCCCACGTAAACGGAATCAGGAGCTCCCACACTCCCGCCGTGAAGAACCCGTCTAGAACCCGTCTGAAGTGTTTCCGAGGTGCTTAGTACTCTCACCCAAGCAGTGGCTGTTCCGACTTCAAATGCCCCTTCACTAAAGGACTATGTGCCTGTCCTACTGTTAAAGTTGCTTTCAAATCATTGGCATGTGAATCCTTTGAATATAAGACAGCAGAGAACACTCATTTCCCATCCCTTTCACATATACATAAAAGGAAATCATATTTAACAATATACAAACCTGCATAACAAATGAAACCAAAAATAACGCAAAAGGAAAAACAACAATGAGTTTGTCCGTCGTCAGGTTTTTTTTTCTCAAGATAGTACCACAGTGGACAGGAGGGATTAATGGGGGAAGGCGAACACTCGCCCCGCACGTCTCCAAATAAACTATTTAAAAACGATGTAAGAGATGTGCTGCTTTGGGGTTCGCGAGTGTGCGCGTCTTCCATTTGTACGAAACAGGTCAGTAATGATTTGGGTTTTCCCTCATATCTACAACAATGAAGAGGGGTTCAATGCAAATACAAGTCGAAGAGCAAATACAAGCTGAGCAAAGCAAACTGCTCTTCAAAACAAATTAGCATGTTATGTACATTTCGCAGTACTCTGACCAGTTTTACTGCAAGACAGGTATCACGTTATGGTTCATACTGCAGTAATCCGTAACGTAGCAAGTTTTCTTGAATGTCATAACCCTCACTAACTATAACATATATCAGTGTTGTGACTTCCTTTTTCACAACAGGTTGTTTTATGCCTATAAATAAAATGTAAATTAAAATGTATTCAAGCACCTACACCCGTTTAAAAATAGTAAACTACTAAAATGAAAAACTCATAAACGTTACAAATGTGTAATCAGCATTTCAAGCAAAAGGCCACTAAAGGTACGATCAGGCGCCAATTGAATACATGTGGTTTTCCGCGTAAAAAAGAAAAAACAAGTAAAAAACAGAGAAAACGTTTGAATGGCAACCTAACAAAAAGCGCGAGGCTGGGGTGACATCTAGCGGCCACTTTGGTTAACTACATGCACCTTTTTTCTCCGTCTTATCAAAACGAATAATACGAAAGCGCCGCTGCTGCTGAGATCTAAAAAGGGTCTAGAAATTAATTAATATAATACTTGCTAGTAAGCCCTCCATATGAAGGGTTAACCATTTCATGTTAGCGCAAATAAAGGTTGAATTATTCTGTAGAACAACTGAATCGTTTTCAGATTCAATTTAAAAAATATTAGTTAGGGTTGTCTTCTCATACTGTCTCCATCAGCGCAGACACGCGGGGGCGCTGTTCACTGCTTTTCTCATTGGACTAAACGTTCTGAACCTTCCATGCATGTCAAACTTACAAAAACGCAACTCTGCAAAAGGCAAAACAACATCAATAATAATGAAGACAGTAATAAATACGGGTCTAAAAAATAAGGCAAGCAAATTGCATAGTACCTGAACCAAGCATTTGTTATTTGTTTTGTTTGTTTTTTAACTGGGGGTGTGCTTTGCTATGGGGGGGGCTCTGCCAACCTCCCCTTTGTCCCAAAAAGGGAAGAAGTGCCATGTGACTTTAAGGCAGGGCAACAAGTTGGGCACCAGTACCAGGGGGATTGGTCTTGGCTAGTGCAATCTAGATGCCTCGATTCTCTGCCGCCCCCCCACCCCTATCCTCACCCCCGGTGAGGTCCTGCATGGTTCATATATTTTTTCTGATTTTCTATCTTGCTGCGTGTCCCTGGTCTTTGGAGGGTAAAAAGCGCCTGTCTGTAGGGGGCGCCGACTGTCCGAAGCAGGGGAGGGGCCGGATGAGAGGAAGCTCAGCACACAGCTGCTCTGGCTGATGTCTGCTTCCCTGTGAAGGTGGGTCTTCCTGGCATGAGGTGGGGAAGTGAAGATGCATGGCCCATGTGAAGCTGGGGGGGGGAAGCAGAGGCCCCCAGACAGGCGGGGGGAGGTGAGCTGTAGGACTGGGCGGGGGCCAGTGAAACCAAAGACATTGTTCCCACTATTGGAGCAGTGAGGGTGGGGTGAATGACATTGGCAGCAGCATTTAGGGTCATGGTGCCCAAGATAGCCCACCCAAGGCAGGGCAGGGCCAGCTGGGGTAGGGCCTAGCGGGGCGATCAGCTGGGCGCCCCCTCTCCATCGCCGTCCTTGTCCAGCTCGTCCTGGATCTCGTCCGTATTCCCCGAATCGCTGCTCGCCACTGAGCTGAAAGACGGTGAGGTCCTGTGATGAGGGGAGAGACTAGTTTACACACTGCGGCAGATTCAGCTGCTGAGCCTCTGAGCTCAGCTCTGAGCTTTACTGACACTGTGGGTCTGCCAGCTGATGGAGAATGTTGATGAGAACAACTATTCCACTCTGGGAACCTCTTCTCCATAAAGAATGCCGACCCTGCATAACATGTCCTCATCCTCTATATCAGGGGTCACCAACCTTTTTGAAACTGAGGGCTACTTCACGGGTACTGAGCCATACGAAGGGCTACCAGTTTTTTAGATATTGTCATTTTCAAATCTATATAAATGCAAATGTGATTAAAGAAGAATAGCAACAGGATAAAATTTCATTTTAGACGCTGCTCACTGGTGAGTTGTGCTATTTTTAGAACAGGTCCGCGGGCGACTCATGTGGTCCTTGGGCACCATGTTGGTGACCCCTGCTCTATATACTATACTCTCTTTATATTCAATGTAGACAATGAGAGCTACTTCTGAGCCCAATTAATGTTTAGTAATTTACTATGTATGAATTGAAACATGTCATTCTCTATTAAAATGTATCATTAAAGATAAATCACTTTTTCAGCTTGCTTGGTTGGGATTAGTGATGGACAAAATGACGCTTCATGAACCATTTGCTGTATTTGGTGACCCCAAAATTGACCAAGAGCACCATCTAGTGGGGTAAAAAAATACAGCAAATGGTTCATGAGGCATCGTTTTATCCATCACTATTTGGCATCAATAGAAAATCTACCTGGATTAAGTCAGAGTTCAAACTGGAGTGGATGCCAATCACGGAACATTGCATTGGGAGGAAACTGGTTCAGCTTTAATTAGAGTGTGCAAGTGGCCCAGTGAGGAGCTCAAACCTCTGCAGGAGCTGGCTGGACCTACCTGCCGCCCTTGATTAATCTCCTGCAGGTCTCCATCTGGACGTCCAGCCCTCTCTTCATGCTGCACATCTCCATGTACTCATGTAGATGCCTGTTCATGTCACTCTTGGCTGTGGCCAGTTCCAGCTGGTAGGAGGGAAGCATAATAGGTAAGGATTCAACTTCGTAACCGGAAGGCCGTCATGCTGATTCTGAGGAGAAGCCTGGCTGTTTACCTTTGGAACTACAGCACTGTATTTGAAATGAATTCATGAAATGGCTTTGAATAAAAGGTTCAGCTACAGTAATAGAGGCACAGAAATACATAAACACACAATCTTGCCATATGCCTTTTAGATTTAAAAATTACAGGATGACAGTACAGAAGACACAGTCTGATTTTGCCTGCTTCTAAGTGCTGGGCAGGAGGAAATATCACTCCACTGGGATGTGAATTGCTTCCTTTTTCGATCTGGCACGCTCAGTCAGTCAGTGTGATGCATGTCTCATACACATGCAGACGCGATGGCGCACCTCAATCTGCCCAATGGTCTCCTGATACTCCTTCTCTCTTGTCTTGAAGAGGGACTCTGTCTCGTTGATGAGAGTACCCAGCGTCCCATCTTGTAACACCTAAGTGATGGACAAAAGGGTGTCTCTTACCAACCAAGCGGCGTGACACACAGACAGCGGGAGAGTTGGAGAGAGGCGGGAAGGTGGACTCACGGCATCCTGGCCTTCCCCAATGCAGTCGGCCGCACAGCCAGCCACGCAGAGGGCAGAGGGTGCGTTGAGGTTCGTGAAGTCCTCCCACAGCAGAAGGGTGTCCTCGTTCTCCTCCCACGTCAAGCTGTCGCAGTCGTCGTCAATGTCGAACGTCTCCCTCCTGGCAACAGAGCAATTATCAGGGCAAGTTCTGGGAGGGGGGGGGGGAGTGGAGCAGAAGTGGAGGGGCCAAGGGAACGACAGACAGCAGACAGACAGCATGTTTGGCAGGGGACCACAAATGGGAGATGGCAGAGAAAAAGAGAAAGAAAATAGCATGACTGACAGCTGGCAGAGGGAATAGTAAAAAGTAGTGATGACTAAATGAAGCTTCATGAACCATTTGCTGTATTTTATGACCCCACTAGATGGCGCTCTTTGTTTGCTTTGAGGCATACTGTGAGCCTTTTATTGAAAAGAGAGCACCATCTAGTGGAGTCAGAAAATACAACAAATGGTTCATGAAGCTTCATTTAGCCATCACTAAATTGAAAAGACTTAACCATAGGGCTATAGGTCAGTAGAAACCATGTCATAGCTAACAGACTGGAAGCACAGAACCAAATCATCATTGTAATCAACATAATTTCAGATATAGTTCATTATAAACAATGTACATTAAATCTGTTGGTAATCTATAATCAAGAAATTATCCCATGAGACACAAATTTCCTTCCAGTATTATGGTTGCAATACAACAAACCACCAGACTGTGGCAGTATAGGATCACGTTCTAACTAAGCTTGATTGATTTTGAAATGCACAGGTCAAAATAGCATTAACATGTGCAGACTGCCATCAGCACCAGCATGGTAGGGGTTGCTTGAGAAGATGGTTTGGCATGACTAACAACGGTGACTCACAGCTGGTTCAGCATGCGCTTCATCTCATCGGTGATGTTGAGCGAACCGGCCACCTCCTCCTCCGAGGTGCTGGGGTCAGCGTCCATCTCTGAATTGTCCTCGTCTGACATTACTTTTCGGTCCTTCTTACGGGTCGCCGCCTGAACAATATGAAGGAGATGTGTTGATGGGTGTCACCCAAAGGCCACTAACTCCACAGGAACTGTTCACATAAAGGCAGCTCAATGAAGAATCCACCCACTCCCTGACAGAGTGAAATGTCCACTTTCAAGAGGCACTCCTAGATTGAAAAGTCTTTCATAAGTTTTGCAAATCCATCTCATCAGATGATTTTCTCCAATGCACCTTGCAAACTAAAGCAGTGTCAGGTAGAAGCACTTTGCTCAAGGGTACAACAGCTGGACGTCTTCAAATACTGAGTCTACCAGCCTAGTTCCCTAACTTCTAACTGCCCTGCGGTCCATCTTGTCCCCCAGCTTTACAGAATCAAGCCCAGCCCAGGGTAAGCGTACCCACCCTGGATGGGCTCACGTTGAACATGACGGACATGTCTTCTGAGTTTCGTTGCTGGGCGACGTCGCACAGCTTTGCCGTGATGTCGATGCGCCGGCAGATGTCCATGTCCACTTTCATGGCCTTCTCCTGGATCTTAGTGTCCAGGTCGGACATTTGCTGTAAGAAGGGAAGGTGAGTGAGGACCAGGACCAGGTTTTTAAGTCACAATCAGGCCAATAGGCTACTGACGCCCCAGTCATATGCTAGATGCGATCTCTGATGTCAAAGCAAGGAAACTCTCGCAGTGGATCCCCCCACCCCCCACATCATCATGTAATGGGAGGTAGATCAATCCTATAGCCCTGATAGGCCAGAATAAAGAGTGACATCACTGGGAGCCATCTGGGTAATAGCAGATTCAGCCTGCATCCCATCCGGTCTCTTGGGTCAGACATCACAGCCTGAACATGGTGCGAATGCAATGCAGCACGTGGCCAGACTGTAAAATAACGAGACAGAAATGCAAAGAGTCTCCACAAAATAACTAGAAATGGAGGAAAAGCAAAACAGTCAGAAAATAAAAAAAGGAGTGTAGAAGGCTCTACAGAGGGAAAATGGGAGACAGACATAAAGAAAAAGAGGGAGTGGCAGCCATCCTTACAGGGTCGAGTCACCTCATTGTCACGAGTGGCGGAGGGACGGGCCCCTAAGGGTGGGGACCCTCCAGCTAGAGGCCCTCAGAGAAAGGGGGAGGGGCATGGGGCCAGCATGTCACAGAGAAGGGCCCCAACTCTGAGGCTTCTGATTCCTCTCCGGATTATTCCAGGTTTGAATGAAAAGGCAGCTACACTTAATTCCTAACAGAAGGTGTATAAGAACTCCAACAAAAAGCTAGCATGGAAACATCTATCAAAGAGAAAGATACTGAAAATACATCCCCCCTCCCATCCATCTTTAAAATTTTCATCCAATATAGAGTTACGGTGCGGGGGGGGGGGGGCTGGGGCCAATCCCAGGAGGCACAGAGCTCAAGGGGGGGGCAGGGGGTACCCTAGGTGGGCTGCCAGTCTGTCACAGGGCACGTTCACACGCAATCCACAGCTTAGAGGAGCCAGTTGTCTTAACAGCTTTTCTTTGGAAACCAGAATAAACCAGAATAAACCAGAATAAAGCCACGGATATAACATGCAAACTCCACACACAGAGAGCTTAGGCAAGGGGTCACACACCGATTCTGCACACGTGGGGTCCACCCACCGAGCCCTTACACAGTGACTAATGAAGCAAATATCCACGAATGTAGCTGTGAGACAGTAGTTAGGCGGGGGCCATCGGGGGAGGGGTGAGGTGAGAATTACTGTCAGGTTCCCCTTACTGGCAGATCGTGATCAAATCGCGAGGCGCTCCTTCACTGAGAGCAACAACAGAACAGGCCATTTCTGCAGGGACATGAATGAGAGACCCCACCCCCACCCGCGGGGAGTCACGCCAACAGCTGATTCTTCCAAGAGCTCCAGTAACGGGCACAGGATAGTGGGCCATATGCCATGGATGGGCAAGGCATGCCAGCAATGTCCAATGGCAATTCAGACAGCCTCTCGGAAATTCGTCTGGGGCATTCCGCATTCATTTCAGAGGCTGGGCCACATTAAATGGGTATCTGAGCACCCATCTCTTGGCGTGAGAAGTAACAGGCCTGCCTGTATTGCTTCTCCTCCAATCGATTGTTTTTCTGCCCCATCGGCTTATCTGAGCGCACAGGAATTCGCCGTGCGTTCACCTTAAACGCCTCGGTGACTGTTTACCCAAGAATGTCTCTCCACTGTCGTGACGATAAGCCACCAAATAAGGCTAGGATTGTAGCTCAGGGGCAAGTCAGAGCCCATCAGGACTCCGTGGACCGGCCCTGAAACCTGGCCAGACCCATCGGCCTGCTCTGAAGCAGCTCTGGCCCACATGCAGCCAAAACACAGAACTTAAGTCTAGACCGTGGACAAAAAAAACCCTTTTTACAAGACAGCTGGTGTCAAATTAAGGGCGCGTTCCAGTGCACCAAGTGCCAAACTTTTGATATTAAAAAAAATCTGTACTTTCCTTTTTCCACTGATTTCCGATCTAGAACCAATACCGGAGCAGCAAAGCAGCTGAAGTACGACTTTGGTGGGACTTGGAAACGTGTTCATTGTCAGTTGGTTATGCAATAACCAACTTCTGAATCACAAAGTACAACCACCATCTTGAAAAAAAGCATAGTTAGGAACCAGGAAAACAACGATAACTGAATTTAAAATAACAGATGCATGGACAAATGAAGAGAACCAAGCTTTAATTGTGATCTGATTAGAATAACCAATCCAGCAAGATCTGGATGGCATGTCAAGGAGGTGTTAAGGACCAGGGGCGGATTACAGCATGCGGCCACACCCACCACTTCAGGGATGAGGACCTGAGTGCCGCCGTGGGGCTGGTGATACCTCAGCACCACACTGGCCTGAATGGAACAGAACAGAGTGAGTTCTTTTCCAGTGGCAGCAGTGCCAATCCTGCTCCAAACCCCAAATTTTCCTTGCAAGCTGGAGGACTTCTTGCAGGGCTGGATGTAGATTAATGTCATACCCAGGATGAAGCAATTGCAGGTTAAGGGCCTTGCTCAAGGGCCCAACGGAGTAGAAACACTCCCAGCATTCACGGGATTTGAACCAGCAACCTCCCAGAGCCACCACTCTGTCCCATGATAAGAAGAAAAAGTATTTGCTAGGCCTGCATGAAATTGGAAAACATTTAAATATCACAATGTGATTTTGTTGCAATAAATACTGGGATATTTATAAAACAAAAAAGGAGTTCAAAATAATTACATTCGTCACAAACCCATCTGTGACTGACTTAAACAACAAGGACAAAAATGATTATGACTGGCTCGGAGAATGCATGCAGAGCTGATGCAAAATCAGAAGTGGTAAACTTTAAACTGATTTTTAAACATATACCAGATAATCTCAAAGAGGAACATTCTGAAACATTGCAAAGTTTGCTAAGTTTTGTTTCCTATGACAGAGTAAAAATGTTTTAGCGAAACTTAAACCCCTTGCGCTATAATGTCCAGCCAGTGCAAAAGTATGAAAAAGCTCGATCTTAGCCTAGGTGACTCTCACGGTCCTTATAATGTGAAAACTGCATGTGCATAGCATGCAATGTCGATACTATTATCCCACAATGCCACAGGTCACCCCACCTCACATTGGGATGACGTCATTCTGCTCTGGTACCAGTTTTTCATGGCAATGGAAAAAGAACACAAAAAGTACCACTGACTTTGGTGCTACTTTGAAGTACCAAAAGTTCCAGTCCCTGGTGCGGTGGAAAAGTGCCCGAAGGAACATGGTGTTAATCATCCACTTAAATAATCCATCACCTGCTATTCTGAAACGGTTGTAAATGTCCAAAGACTACAATCCCTGCTGAGCCTTGGTCCAACGTACCCACAATGCACCGGGACTAATGTCAGCATTTTGCTTAATTAGACCTGGATTCATTCAGCAGTCAGGTGATTATTGGTTCTGGTTTCTGGCATCCTATCACACGCATCTATTGTAAAATTTTCTGAATAAAAGATTACCTGCACTTGACAAAATGAACATTTGCTTTTTAATTTCTAATGGCCTGTTTATGATTGTGTTTTATAGGGCTTACTGGAAAACAAATAAAAAAAAACAAGAGACGTGAACAAATCTGAAAAGGTACTGGAGGTTCCAGAGTGCTGAACAGAACCCCTGCACACTTACGTCAGTCACAAGGCTCTTGAAGACCACCAGCTCGGCCTTCAGCCGGTCCACCTTCTCATTTAGTGCCTCCTGGATGGCATCTGACTCCTGGACGTTCTGAGGAGACACATTCCCAAAACGGGGCTCATAAAAAGCCCCAAACTCATAGCACACCACAAGTTTATTAGGCTTTACAGGTTTATGTTAAAGCGGGGGGGCGAGGTGGTTATGGCCTCACCTCCTGCAGTGTCTCCACCATGGACTCCAGTTGTTGACGTTTAGACAGCTCCTCTTCCCACCTGTAACACAAGACACCATCAGTGAAGGTCACGCAGCTGTGAAGATCCCCAACCACACTGTAGACAGCAAACATGACCTGTAGCTACCGAAACACCAACATAACACTTAAAAGGGCACCTGGGGTTTCTCTCACATACATTCTGCTTAAACACTTCCTCTTAATGTAGAAAATGAACTGTGCATCCACCGCATGCATCTAACAGATGGGGGCGCTCTTAATCACGAGCCAAAACCAAACCAGGCATATCGCTCAGCAAGCCAGAAACTTCCACGTTAGCAAATCTAACCCATAATCTTTGTGTTTGGTTCCACAAAATGCTCTGACTTCCTCATTTCTTCCCTCAGACTCTGAAATAAATCATGTGTCAGCTTTCTGAAGGAGATTATGAACATGAGCCTAAACCTACAGTATAACCTCTGCATTCCAAAATTATACAAATAAATCACGTTTATGTAAAATGCAACCCAATTAGGCACTTTTTAGACCCTCAGAAATGTTTTATTTACAGACCAGACACTCTTATCCAAAGTGACACATTTTTGAGAAACTGGCATCAGGCAGCCCCTGGAGTAATTGGGGGTGAAGGGGGTTGTTGAGGGTCCATAGATCAGCTGTAAATCACTCTACTGACACTGAGACTTGAACTGGTAATATTCCGATCACATGCACAGTGTGCTATCCCAGTGAGCCACACACCACTGAGGCACTCAGGTGGACATACAGTATACTTTCCAACATGCCCCGCAGCCAAACTCATAAACAAGATTCCTTCCGTTCGATTCACCGCTCCACAGCTGAGGACATAAAAGACCTGAAAAGCCTTTCACACAAGGAATCATGAGGACATAAAATCAGAAAGATGCTCATTCCCGGTTTAACAAATAGACTTTCTCAAACACACAAATAATTCAGCAGTGTTTTGTATTTCACAGAAGTACTGAGTAATAAACAAGTATTAAATAGTATTCTTAAGAGCAGTGAGTATTTGCAATTAATATATGTAGTATATGTAACCTTTTAATTACATAAATAACACAGGTAAAGACAATGTCTACCTTCACCCCAGTATCTCCCTATCCTTTGTATTACAGATTCCAGTCTAAAATGATGGAAACTGCCTGGACACCTTATAAACACAGACAGCCTTCAAGACGTGGCTTTAAGTGGATCCAGTCACGATGGACGAGCATTGGCAAGGAGCAAGCACTCTGCATTAATAAATTAAACATTATCCTTATTGGCTACATAGCCTATGGGTAGAGTAATAAAACTCTTTCTCCGGGTCTCGTTAAACCTCACACAGAGCGTATCATTAGTTTAGCCACAGGCGGACACACCCAGCACCACCACCAAGTCTTTCTGCAAGGGGACGTAGCAGGAATCTGCAGAATGCACAGCAGAACATAGTGGGCTCAGATCGCGGCACCTGCTTCCTGATCTTCCCCATGGCAACGCAAACAGACAAAGAAATAGGCAACAAACAGGAAGTCTTTGGCAGAACTCTTCTAAAATTGCAGTGGCCTTTCATTTCATCATTTCCTGTGGTTAACCATTGCATGGTAGCAGTGCTTTGTTGCCCCGTTACTTTGGGTATAATGCAGTGTGTACTGCAAATACATTGTGCATTTGGTAACTTTGAAAATACTTGAGATATTTCCAAAAATCCCAGTAAGCATCATTCTTTAGGTAGGCTACCCTTCCTTCTTTCCAGAATCAACTCTATCCTGAGTCACCCAATAACACTGTCAGTTTGTGTCACGTCCTGGTTCTGGCCTGGGGGACCCCCAGACAGTCCATGTTTTTGCTCCCTCCCAGCTCCCTACCAGAAGCTCTCTACCGGAGCTACAAAAAATGTGGACTGTCTCACAGGGAGCTGGGAGGGAGCAAAAATGTGGACTGTCTGGGAGGGAGCAAAAATGTGGACTGTCTGGTAGGGAGCTGGGAGGGAGCATAAGCGTAGCCCATCTGGGAGTCCCAGAGGACCGGGTTGAGAAACACTGCTCTACAAAAGGTCCACAGGCTTCCCGTGGCAATGTGTTCTCCCTGAAGTCTGAAGTACAGCAAAAACAAAAACAATCCCTGCAAGATCTATGAAAAGAACTGAAAGCCAGCCGGAGCTCTTTGCTATGATCCGGTTGAAATAGAACTGTCACGGTCTAGCTTTTATTTGGAGGGACAAAACAAAATGATGATCACCTTACAAGGGCAGAGTTCTCCGCCCAACCCCCCCCCACCCCCATTCTGGATAATGTAACACCATTAGGCCAGTCACCGGGTTGGAAGTCAACAGACCCACACAGCCAGGAGGACGGATGTATGCACCCTGCAATTTGTTTCTCACAAGTTCCTAAGATTGCAAAATAGGCCCCCGTTCAGCAATAAAGATTCAAACATGGGAAACAGCCTTTTCAAGATCTCTAGAAATACGTATGTGCCCAGTGTCACCTACCATGACTACAAAACTACTCAATCACTCATCCAACATCCTAATGAGGTATTGAAGGTGTGAGACAAGATTAGACTTTTTCCCTTAAATGAATAAATAAATGCTCCTTGTGTTAATTTATCTAGTCATGAACTTGTTTGATTCATTAGTGATGACTGACAAATAAATTGTCTAATAAATGCAGTAGGTTGGAGTGCATCTGTTAATTCTACAACCCAAAGATCCGCTGTGAAGCACAACTAAGGAACCAAAGAAACAAGATATATTTCTACGGAATGGTTTTTTTGAAAGAACAAAGACATTCCACCACATTGTGCCAACAAAAACACCCACATGCTTATTCACCCTACACATAAGTTAGGCATCTACAGTCACACACACATTTCCACAAACCAATCGATTTCCTCTGTTCCTTATCTGTTTACTGAACCCTGGGAAACCCTGATAATTCGAGGGAATTACGCCTAGAGGTTTTTCCAGCTTCACAAGCTGTGAAGCTATAATTCCTTGCTGAGCAGATTGACCGAGCCATCCAGGTGTTGCCATGATAATGTCATGTCGATGTCGGGTAAACTGTTACTGAATCATACAGTCTTTACCTTGGCACCTTAGAAATAGACGATCAACTCCAGCAGGTTTCAGCAAGCTCTGCATTTCTGATCTTCTGCTGTTTGTCCATAAATGGCAGGGGAGTTCCAAAGAGTCTACTTTCTGGATTTCACCTTGGTATGCAGCTTCTGCTATGATGCTTTTTGCTTTTCTCTGGGCGTGTCTGAAGTTTTTTCCCAATGAATGTGTTAACTGTACACTAGTGTCAGCCAAGGAATTGTGAATGAAACGTGCAAATAATGGTCCGGCAGCTTAAGGTGCAACCCTTACCCAGCTCTGCCAGGGTGGGCCGTTTACCTGAGCTGCCGTCTCAGCTGATCTCTGTGACATTGTTCTTTTGTCCAGCCATTTTAGTTTTTGGAATAAATCAGCAGTATTACCAGTGACTAAATGGGAAGACACCACATATTTTGTAAGCTTGGCAAAATACCTACAGCCATTTTGTTCTACCTCTTCCTTTCTGTTCCTCTTCCTTTATTACGATGCCAGTTTTACATCCCCCCTGCTCCCCCCCCCTCCCTTTCAGTGCTTCTTTTACTGCCCATATTGGCTGTTTCTCTGTTTATGACACTGCCGGTTTATGACACTGCCGGCAGACAGTGCACTTCACTGCACAATAAAGCACGGGCAAAGCCTATGTCTCTCTAGGCTAACAGCAAAATTCAGCTGCATAGCTAGCAGGCCTATTTTGCAGGCCTATAGGGAAAAATTCATTCTAAGTTCAAAATTAATTTATTTAACGTTTTTTTTCCCCCCTCATCTAAAATTCAGAATTTGGGAGCCTCAGGTCCCTTATTTCCTCTGGGTGAACTTGGCTGGTCCTGGTGATTGTCCCCAAAATGACATCAGTGGGACAAAGCGTATGGGGGGGGGGGGGTATATAAAGCCTGAGACAAACCGCTAAACAAGACACACAGCCGGGGGCACAGTCTGAATCATCCATCATAGAGGGTGGGGGGGAGGGGGGAACCTTGTGCTGAGTAGGCAGCACGTCAAGGTCAAGCACTGTGTGATTTCTCTTTTAGTCCCTCAGTCTCTCACACGTTTGCTCTTCACCCCTCCGTTCTTGTGTTTCAAAATCCCTCTATTCTTCTTATCCTCCTCCATTTTAATTGGCAGCATATTGTCATATTATTATCATATTATTAGCTGTAATATCAGTAGATATGATGTAAAGTCATTTTATACTGTTATATAGTATATACAGACGCTCCTCTACTTACGAATGAGATAAGTTCTGAACGGCCGTTTGTAACTTGAAATGTTCGTAAGTCGTTATTCAGCATAATTTTAAGGGTATACGCAAGTACAAGGAACTAGTATGCTGGGAGTACACACGCTACGCTGCTGCGCGGCGGGAGTAGCGGCCAGAAGTCGTACTAGACGGAATTGGCGCGCAGAAAAAAAAAATGATGTAGCGGACAGGAAACGGGAGCCCAGTGAAGATAATTTGGACTTACAGTCCTCTTCGTTCATATGTCTGAAAGTTCGTAAGTTGAAAGTTCGTAAGTAGAGGAGCGTCTGTATTGTATAACATATGTTATATAGCCTGGTAATTTATTAGATGCCATCATTAGTAAAATTAGGTCATTATTAGTAAAATGACTAGAACTGATTCTTGTTTCTATTTTACTTTTTTGACTAAACCCGAACTCCCCCCGCCCCCCCCGTCCCCACCAATGCCCTGACTTACACTCTGCTGTCTGATCCTGACAGAGACAGTAAAAAATTCCTGCTCCTCTCCGTCATTCTCACACCCAGCCCGGGCCCCTCCTCCCTCCCCCACCCGGCTCCCAGTCAGTAGCCTGCCACTCTCTGCTCCGCGCTTCCTTAGTAAATATAGCACACTCCATCCCCAGACATGACTACACCACAGGCGGTTCCGCAAACATTCCAGTCGCCGGGCAACCGGGAGCACTTACATCAAGCTCCATGTGTTTGGT